ATAAGTTACCAAAATGTGGAATGAGGAGTATGGTTCTCAGCAAACCCCAGGCAGTATTTCCATCTTCTACATGATCACAACGTTACACCCATTGATGCTGGTGCCTCCAAATCCACAGGTACCTTCCTCAGGTGTGGGCTAGGAATAGGTTTTGCCTTTGACTGATCTTGCTTTTACACTGATAAGGGGGGAAAAAAAAAATATGTTCTGCAGTTGGAATCTGACTTTTAATGCTTCATACAAAAGGATTTATGTGTAAAATTTATTCAGAAGGGACAAGTAAGATAATATTGTCATCAACATAGGACAAGTTTTCTGCCTAAGCAGACATCTTCTGCCTAAGGACAGAAACATAGGACATTTTCTGCCAAAGCAGGTATTTTATCATTAGAATCTCCCACGGCTTTTAAAAACTGATTTGAAGTGGATTACTGTTCATCTTACAGCACTTTTAGTAACTGTGCTGAAATGCGCTAGCAATTCTTGAATAAACAGATCCAAGACAAACAAGATACCACTTTTTCCACACAAAACATAATTAAAACATGGAACTCACAGCCGCAAGGGGTTGTGGAGGCTGAAAGAAACCGTGAGTTCAAAAATGGAAAAATTCCCAGAGAAAAATGGGGTCACCTTATCTATTCTTTGTTCCACATCATCTGTTGGTGGCCACTGCTGGAGGCAGGATACAAGGCCAGAAACATCTTTGGTTCTGATCCACACTGGTAGTTCTTAGAGCAATGTACATCATTAGCATGATATTGTCACACTTTTTTTAATGGCAACACTTACTTCACATACTTGCATCTTACTCATAAACACAGCTTTTGTCAAGGAAATTCAGTATGATATGTTACCTGTAAAAGTACGGCGTAATAAACAGTTACATTTTCACTTCAACATATATATCTTACTATAGCTTGTGATCAGTACCTTCAAAACTGTCAGGAAAAGAAAGGTGCAAAAAAATAATTCAATTAAACAGATATACATAAATTTTATTTGAAAACAGACAAGAGCTGTTTTCCATTTAAACCTAATAAATCTCCCTTGACTTACCTTACTGGATCATCCATCAAAATTATACAAAGCTGCTAAGGTCCGTGAACTTTCTGGTTATAGTACAGGTATATGCCACTGCAGAGTATTAGAATTATCCTGGAGTAATTCAAGGAGGCTTACACTAGGTTACATGAAATATTAACTATGATTATACAAATACCTAATACATCAGAATGCTGCAATCTTAGAGCAGGAAACTGAGGAGCTGACCAAGCCAGGGAACAGCTCTCAAAGGCTTACTGCAAAGATTTTTAGCATCCTTGAGGATCACATCTTTAAATACGAGCAATACGGACACCAAGAGCTCGATTCTGCTTCTAGACATGTGCACACACGCAACTGCTCTCCTTATCTCAGTGGTCTGTGGTGCACACCTCACGTACCCGAGCTTTCAGTCTCTACGCTGACACAGTATCAGGTGCCGAGGCACAGTTACGTCCTGGATAGCAGGGCACAGAGCTCTAACTAATCTTAAAGTGCTGCATTTTTTGCATGATTTGTACGATCGCCTTCAGTTGCACATGTGTACTCAGTAACATTTTGTCAAGTTGCGCATTCATATCCCCTCACCACAGGATACTTAAAATCAAATTCACAGGCGTGTGCATATACACGCTACTCCCACTTAACAGTAGTGGAGGCTACTTAGGTGTACTTATTAGGAAAGAACCCCTGCATGGGAGGTTCTGTTCAATTAATAAATTAATAGCTCAGATTCTAGTAAAATACTGGGCCGAAATACATTGTTGTAGCAAGTACACAGAAATCCCTGAATACTTAAGCGTATAGCGAGACAAAAACAAGTTTAACAGTGAGCAAATGTCCTGACTTTCTTTGCACATCCTCATTTCTGAAGCAATGGTTAAATAACTAAGTACTGGCATTTATGAGAATACAATCTTTTCAACATATATTGTACTGTAAACCTGAAAGCCAATACTAAGAAACTTCAAGCACGGGGTACTTCTGGTTGCTAAGGCCATGATTCTGTAATGAAATCCATACAGTGCAGCCATTTGATCCTCACAAATCTCAATGGGATGCTACACTCTATGACTGCCCTGCAGTGAATCCTTCTTTTAAGCACTTGCAAAATCAGAAGAAACAACTCCTCCATGAAAAGAATGATAAACCATCACATTTTACATAGAGCAGAATTTGTTAGTTAAAGCTGAAGCGTCCCATGGGAGGAATTCTGTTGATAAAGCTGTAGAACAAAGATTGCAGAGCACAGGAGCCCACCTGACGCAAAAAACCTCACTTAAGCTAATCCCCCTGGTTCTTTGTAGGCAATTGGTAAGCCACTACTCTTCTTACTTCTATGAAAACTGATAGAAATATACTGAGTTGCAGATTTTAAAAAAAAAAAAAAAAAAATTGCAGAGTTAATAAGGATATGAGTCCCAAAGTTCTTGACTGCATTTTCAGAAACACTGGGCCCTTAATGCTGACAGCCCTGCCAGATTAAAAGCACATTAAGTACTTAATTATGAGTGGAGAAGCAGCAAACATGTATAGGTGAAAGCTGTGTCACAATAACAGAATACCATACTGATGAGAAATCTTTTGCATGCACGTCCCGAGAGCTTTCTGGTTTAAAATTAGATCAAGATTTCTTTTTTTTTTTTCGTTCAGTAGACAAAAGATCTCCTGAGGTCATCGAAGTTCAATCAAATTATAGTATAAATATAATAACACCCCCAGCATCCTTTATTTGACTGGAACACCATGCATTTTTTTTAAAGTGTTTAACCTGAATATTAAAGTCCATAAATTGAAGGCTCTGTATAACTACCTACCTTATAGTTATCTTCCTCATACATAGGGTATAGATTTTCCCTGTGCCATTCAAGAAATAACTATGCAAAAACAATGCTATTAAGTTGGCATGGTTAGGCACTCAAGATTTAAAAAGTCATAGGCAGAACATAAAGTTGTCCTCCCTGTACACGTGCGTGGGGTCAGAGTCCTTAACCACACAGACCAATTTTGTCTCAGCATTTCCTGTCCCCTTCTGCTCTGAAGGTCTGAGGCAAACATGAATAAGGGGACCCTAGTTCAAGTCCACGGTATTGTGAAAGGCTTCTCAGCACCTTTCCAGCTTTAAAGAGGCAGCGGCTGCAGGAGGAATTCTCTGGGGCATTTCTGCTCAGACTTAATGCCTCCTTGAGCGATCTGGGTTATGCTCAAAAGGTATCCACATACATATGTTCCTTTCCTTACAAGTCAGAACAGGAGAAGGAGGGATATGTCTTCCTTCTTCCCTGCCTCTTCAGGATGGAAAAAGCCTAAACTTTGTCCATGGGTACCAAGATCTCTAACTGCCACTCTATTTGATCCCAGGAAACACTGCTACCTGGGGAAAGCAATGAATGATGCACTGCCACGATGGGAATTAGCAAAACAGAAAAATACACAACATCTTGTCTATGCTCTGAAACCCCTGAAGACTGTCATTTTGAGTTACAAAAGTTGAATAAAGTCCTATAGCACTCTGACACTCAAACCGTAGTCAGCCACTTGCCTCATAACATTTCCTCAAAAATACACTAAAGGCAGTGGATAATATATACACTTTTAAATAGGAAATACATACAGAAGTTTTAGGCTATTTTAGGACTGTAGAAAGTGCGAGTTCTACCTGCATTATTTTTTAATTCATATTCTGCACAATTAACTTGTGGGGTACTATCTTGTTTGACTGAATGGCATGAAGTCAGAAGAGGCTACTTGGGGAAAACAGACAGTCCTTCAGTGAAGAAAGTTGGGGAAGATCTTAATTGGAAAATTCCTACCAGCTGGGCTCCAGCCAGGCCAGCAGACTGGCCTGCCTCAGGTTTCAGCTGATGATCAAAATAACATTAAACTGTGAAAGACCTCTATTAGAGAGCAAAGACAGGAAACAGACGGCTGGAAGGAAGCATCAGGACTGCCCTTCTCTCCCAGACCAGCAACAGGAGGTTCATCACTGTGCAGACCTTACCCAAAACCAGCCAAGGAACACCCAAGTTTAGGTAAGATCCAGCTGGACAAGCCTGGTGACATTTTCTCTGATGGCTTTGATGACTAAGCAGTGCTTTGTTGTGAAGACACTGCTTTTCAGCTGTCCAGAGGCCTTCCAGGTGCTGAACCCAGCTGGGGGGAGTTGTATTATTACAGCTGGTCAACAGAGTTTTCACACTGAGATCAAATCTGAGTGATCAAAGACATCCCTCCCCCAAAATCAGTAGTACTAACAAATGAGTCAAGAGAAGAGAGAACTTAACAGGGACTAAAAGAAGTCTAAAGTGCAACTTCCCTTGCACCCAAAAGCTGTGGATACAGTTTCATTGTAAGTTAAAACTTTTATTCAGTGTACAACAATACCCAGCTGCATAGGACATTTTGATATCTGTTACTAAGTGTCTCTGATGAGGATGCTAATCTAACATAAAAGATGCTGTGCAAATACTGCTGTTAAACATGAACATAGTTACTAAAAAAATATCCACTAGGGAAAAAACTGTGCTCTTGAAATAATTTCTAGTCATTTCATAAAAGGAAAGCAACACTTAAAGCATAGTAAAAGAAACTTAAAAATTCTGATGTTCCAAGGCTTTCCAGTAAGTTACACTCTTTTTTTTTAAAATACTGGATTAATTTAATGGCAAAAAAATAGATAAGCTTTTCTATGCAATCTGTCTGGAAAAGATAATGAATTTCTTAGCTTTGAATATACACAATTGTTTTAAAGAGCCACACCTGGTTGACTGCTGATAAACCAAGATTGAAAAAAAATAAAATTCATTAACTTAACAGAAGCCTAATCTGATGCATTTGCAACAAGCATAGCCTCATGAACATTTTATACTACACTAGATGGAAATTTCACCCAAAATGAAGGAGGAATGAATAATTTGCTTCACTCAATATGAAACAATGATTTTTTAACCTCAGACTCATGATTTGAGATCATCCTTATTTTTTGTGGTGGTCCCCCCTGAAAGCATATCCTTATCAAGGTTATCTTGTAGGTCTGCTGACATGTTGTTTGAAGAATTCTCAGTGTCACATAAATCTTTCTCTATAGTGCCAGGGTGATTTCCACAGTCATTGTTCAGATCTTCATTATCTTTTTTGGAATGAGAACTGTCTTCCTTTCTGTCTGAAGTATCATTAATTTCTTCTGATTTTGAAAGCTGACTGGTATCAGTATCACTGTTCTTTTCACTGTTGTTCTGCCTAACAGCATCACAATTAATTTCTTGTTCATCCTGGTCATTTTCTTCCCCGTTTTTTGTGAGTTCTACCTTTCTTTCTTCAGTTGTTTTACTAGATGAGCTTCCACTTGCCAATGTATTCTTAGGCTCTTTTGGTTTCTTATGCTTAGAAATATAACTATTGTGAATAGAAATTGGAGATGCTGGCTTTTTATTTGTTTTGCTTCCCTCCGACTTCTGTTTTCTTGGGGGTCCCCAGATAAAATGCTCTGAGGGCGTATAATGTTGCTGGGCAAATCTCAGGAGTTTCCTCCTTTCTCTTCGGTCTCTAATAGTATACACAAAATATTCTAGAGCACTTTGCTTAATGTTGGGAATGGTATCTTCCACAAGAGCTTCATGGAGAATAAATTTTACCAGGGGAGATTTGAAACTCTCATATCCAAGCTCGCCCAGACTTTTCAGAATTCGAGTGATTCTCAAGTAGTTGTGTTGAGACCTTTGGAAGAAAAGGGTGAAAAAATTCCATTGAATCAGAAAAAAAACCCACCTTACAGATACAGAACTGGAACTGCACTTCCTCACTCCTTTTTATCACTCCAGGTATGTACTTCAGGCTTCCTGTACTTTAATTTCTCACAGCTGCTGAAGCTTGCTAGCACCTCCTTTGCTAGGATGTTGTGAGTGAAAATTAGTGTCTGTAAAATGCACTGAGGCAACAGGCTGAAAAAAAAATAAAATCAAAGTGTGTACTGATTTTGATTCCTTGTGCTGTACGTATTCTTTCTGAGGAGAAAACCCAGTCACTTCATAAAATGTGGGTTTTGTAGTGTATTGCAGTAATACAGCTACAGAACAGGACTCATTGCACTTAAGATATTTAAAAGCTGGGTCTCCAGTCCAGACTAGCTACCTGCACTTCTGATACAGTCAGTGCTGGGAGAAAACCAGGCACCTCTGGAGAGCAAGTCCCACTGTCATAAGAAGTGTCTAAGAGAAATGGAATGAACTATCTTCTAGAAGTGCTTGTGAAGAGCTCTTTCTCTCCTAAAGTACACCTAACTAAGCAGTAAAACTTAAATGCCTAAATTTTAGATGGATAGAATTAGGTAAAAAGAGTGCCAGTTCCTGACTTAAAACTGTGTAGCTACTCACTGGTGAGAATATAGGAGTTACAGTATAAAAATGCGCAATGAGTAACATTTGGGATTCCTGAAGCCCTATTTTGTCTGTGGCCTGAGTCTGAGCCCACACCCATACTGGCTCATATAGTATTTAAGTAAAATTAATAACAAATTATTCCCATTATTCACCCAAAATTATCCATCAGCAATTCTACCTACAAACTTTCATTTGGATGGGAGAACAAAACACTGCAAGAAAACAGTCTTCAGCTCCCAGGTCAGGGGTATTAGGAAAGTGATCTCAAGGTTTGAAAAGACATTTTGATGCAATTAATCCACATGAGACAAAATTCAGTGCAAACTTATGCTCCACACAATGCTGATGAAAAGCAACAGATGAAAGTTGGGCTAAAGTTTGACTTAATGCACGTCTAAACCTCTACAGTTAAGCACTGCAATTAAAAATTATGAAATACATAATATTTCATGTTTTGAGGAGGGACGGAAATCTTGCTATTTAGCTTCCACACAGGTGTGGAGAATTTGATTTTTCTCAAAAAGAAATGTGAATACAAAGATGAGCCACTCAGTTCTTTCCAGCTGAGAAGCAGCTCTTTGGGGTCAGGTGAAAATGTGTTCAGTAGCATGACAAACAAATTAATTTGGAACTGTGATCTTCTTCAGCACCATCTGAAGTTGTATTTTCAGGGAATTCAATGATGTCAGTTAGACTGGTAATGGCTGAGAAGCACAATCAAAAAAAGGCAAGGAGGAGCGTACACATACAGACACAAACCAGGCATTGACTATTTCTTTTTCCTGGCAATCTTTGGAAAATATATCTTCCCTTTCTCCAGAAAACAAAAGGCTAAAGAGATTCTGTAGCAATTCTAGAGAATGGAGTGCATGTCATTACTTACTCATTCAAATGCTGAAATCTTTCTTGCCAGTTAGCAGCTCGTGCTACGTTTCCAGTTTTATCAATTAGTTTTATTCCAAAAAACTCCAACATCATTTTGTAAGCCAAAAGGAATCTTCTAATTGCTTCTTTTGTTTTCTTGAATTCCTAATAAACAAAGAATACGTCCAAAATTCTAAGTGGCACTAAAGCAAGTACTTCTGCATTGTATAAAACAACTCTACATAACAAAAAGCAGTTATGTATCAAAATTAATGTGATGGTTCGTACTGAGCTCAATTTGTACTACCTCAATTTCATATGTAGTTAATTCTTTAGCACAGAAGTTCAGACCTTGCTCCCTCAGTGGGAAAAGCCTGTTAAAAGAAAAAGCATATTATGGCTCATAGTATATGAACACTTAATCAAATTAATGCTTTGAAACAGAAATAGGTAGTAAGTGACCAACCACTGTATGTAAGTGTGGTTATGTTCCAGTTTTTCATAGTCTCCCTTCCATTTATTTAGGACTTCTTCAATATAAACCCCTGTATAAAAATAATTTGAAAACTGTTAGGTAGCCATCAAAAACACCATTCAGCTACACAAAGTACATGCATGTTCACATAATGACAGAATACATTATTGATGTATTACACATACATTAATGATAGAATACTTTATTTCTCTTACTATGTGAAATAAGGTCTACTACAGCCACAAATAAACTCATTTTAATTTAAAATTAATTTAGTTACTAAAACTTAATTAAAAATAAGAGATTTGTCAAATTTCAATACAACCAACCCAATTGACTTAGTGAGTTACTAACCAGCAGAGGGTATGTGACAATAACGCCCGTAAAATATACTTCCCCAAAAGTTCTCACGTCCTAGATCCGTTTATCACACTGACTGGTAATTAACAAACCACTTACATAAAATATTGCATCATGAATCACCTGTCATTGCTTTAACATGACAAAACTCTTCATATCTCTCTCTCTCATCTTAGTAGAAAAAAGCCTCAACTCTTTAAGAAATGTGCCATTCCAGGAATCTCTCCAGTTGCAAATAGGGCTACGATTGGGAAATCTTTCTCAATTAGCTGCAGCCAAGAGTCTTGCTGCCATTGCTATGAGTTTGTCTTTGGGTTCTCAGGTCATGCGCAACAAATGAGAATTTCAGCTTTTAGTGGTCATGCTCAACAAATGAGAATTTCAGCTTTTAGTGGTCTCAAAACAGTTGTGGAGTTCAGTCAGTTCCTCTTGGAAAGACACAGTGGTAGAAAAAGGGGACAAGGTACATGTAAAAGGAAATTAATCATTCTTCGCACTGAGACTGTGATCATGAAATTCAGTCATGGGCCAGGGCACTTTTCCAGGCACTGCACAAAACACAAAGTACATAAAAATATGTTCCTTGTTCCAGAACCTGTACAGTCTCTTTCCATGAATGAACACTCAGTGCTAGCTTGTTTCTACTCTGAAACCAACAACAGTTTTACCACTGCCATGTGGCCTCTCCCAAAGTCAAATAGCATAGGAGTGGCCTAAAAAGCCCAAAGCCCCACATAGATAGTCTATTATACATTTGAGATGTCTCTCTCCCCCACCCAGCAAAAATTTCCGCTTGGGTCTCAATGACAAAGGAGAGCTCACTCAGTACTTTTCTTCAAGAAGTGGAGAAAGCAGCCAGCCAAAGGGGCTGCTAAGAACCCAGGGTTTCCAGTGCAGGCAAGGCTGGAAAAGGACCTTGCAAAGAGGACCTCTCACCATCACTGCACTGTATCCAACCTACATTTCAAAGTATTGGAAAACTTGCTGCTCAGTTCCAGGGCAGAGAGACACACAGGCCAGCTCCAAGTCAGAACCCCAAGCTAAATCTGTAGGTCACAGAATTAAACTTCAGATCTAGTACTGTATTAGAAATGTCTTCTTTTAATAGCATTCCGCAGTAGTTCAGTCCCTAACATGGTAGCTTAGACCCCCTCTGAACACTCTCACAGATCCACAGACTTAAGTCAAGGTGGTGGCTACTCTTTTCCACCCTCAGTAAAAACTTCTACGTAACCAGAGCTCCCAGCCATCAACGCTTCAGCCTCCATGGCCTATCAGCTACCTCTGACACTACCAACTGTGGTTTTCTCCTAAAACATTAAGACAAATTTTATTCTTTACAAATTTTAGGAGGGAACTCCTCCTCTAGCTTTCATGACTATCTCTTCTGCGGCTAATCCTCTTGAACTGCTCCTTCATTTTGCACTTTAAGTGACCCCCCTCCCTGCCCCCTCAACCTTTTCTGGCTTTCAGTTTCAGGTTCACGTGGTCCTCAGGTTCACATGGACCTCAGTGCCCTTCTTCTTTCTGCATCTGTTCTCTGTGTAATGTCTCCTGAATTTGCTACCTCTGTACTGGTAATTCACAGATCTAACTCTTCTTCCAGTAAAGCTAAAAACACAGTCTTCAGCATCTGCCTGTGGGTATCAAGATAAAGCTCAAGATGATTAAAACAAAGGTCTTATCTTTCACATAACCTGACTTGTTTTCTCACTTGCTGAGGATATTATCACTATCTTGCCTATAAACAGCTCTCATCTTCAACCTTCCTATACGTACATCTTTACATCCTTCTATGTAACATTCCTTCCCATCCAGCTTCCTATGGGTACTTTGAAGTTTTGCATCTCAACATCCTCTTTCCTGACCTTGAGAAGTGTCCTCTTGTCACGCTTATATCTACCCTGAATGCTGCTGGTAAGATCATGTTTCTAGACCGTGGCTTTTTTATATTGCCTCTTTTATCTGCTTTGCATTCTTCCATTGTGAAGCCCTTTTCTGTAACATCAGACAAAAACTTCCAAAACTTCAGCTTTCACTTCCAAAGTCTTTTGTGACCTGTCCCTTCCTATCTTATTATGACCCATTTAAGACTGATCCTGCCTCCGACTGGATCCTGCCTCAATGGCAGCCTCCATGTCTCACTTCTTCTGTACTACAATGTGCACTTCGGTATTGCCTCCCAAGCCGCTCTCATGCTGAGAGGATCTTTCTGTGAACACCTTCAAAGTAACCTCCTCCTCATTCTTTTGAAACTCTCAAAAGCTTATTTTTGGTCTGCAAAGTTTTTTTTGCCAATGGCTAAGCTCTCATGCACGGAGACTCCTGTCTACCATTCCAGCCAAGACTGTTTTGTTGCCTCCTGTCTGCTACCCTCTTGTCTCTCATACTTTGCTTGCAAACTCTCTAGAGCAGGGTTTGTTGTCTTTCAGCTCATCCTGCATTTGTGCAGAACCTTGCATATGAGGTTCCTGCTCCACTACTAGAACCACTAGGGACTTTGAGAAATGATTTTATTATTGTTACTATAATAATCACACATGAGGTAGTTACACCACCTTCTTTTTCCCTTACACGGTGCTAGGGATAACACCCATATCCCTGCCACTCCTATTCAAGCGGCAAGAGTTTGTGCGGCCTAGTGGAGCAACTTTATCTTTGTTTAATAAAAGATAGTGCCACTACTGTAAAGTAGTGGTACCAACAACACCCTGTACTACACCATGCTGAAAATGCATGAGAAAAGCACCACCTCCCTAACTCTGGTTTAACCATAACCTGCTCCCATGTTATCAACATATTACTCCAACATGGGAGGTTCAAGTGGTACAGTATATAACTATACACTTTCAACTTGTCAGCACCGCAATTATCACTAGTTTCACTTTGTTACTATTATTAGCGAGCATTCTTTTGTTATCACTATTATTGCCACAGATTACTCACCATCAGGCTTAAAAGGGATTTTATTTTTGTAAAAGCGGAGATTGCACAAGTCATTTTGATACCGAAGATCTTTAAAGTTCTGCTGAAAGAAAGGAAATAAAACATTATCAGCCTACAAAAACCTATCAAGAGTATCCAGAAAGTGATACTGTGCTCTCTGAGTAATTTGAGGATGAAAAAATTTCATAGTTATGTGAAAACTGGAAATCACTTAGAATTACTCATGCACTTAAAGATTCAGTCTAAGGATCTGCAAGTTCCTTCTGGTTGGTGGTACCTTCTCCTACTGAGGCAGAGGTTAGAGCAGCAAGCATAGCAGCACCTTGACTTCGGTCTCAAGGAACTTCCAAGATGCAAATATTAGTAAAGTCCAAACTCTACCATCTACCCTCTTTGACGTTCGAGGCACAAGCCTTTTTCTGGGCTCCTACCGCTGTTCCCAGGCTTACTCATCTCATGTGTTTGCATGTACACCTGGGATGAAAAGACGTCACACTAGTTGCACTCCTCTCCCATTGGCATATGTTGGGCCTCTGCATCAGCTTTTTGAGTCTTCTAATTTCTCATATTTACTAGGCACCACAAATGTTTAGGAATGTTTGGGCTGTGTGCTGTCTTCCACTAAAAAGGCAATTTTAAACCAAAAAATATTCTTACTGGATACTGGTGTCGGTACTTGTATAAATCTCTTGCTGCGTAGAAGCTTCTCTTTGGCTTGGCTGTCAGCTCAGTTCCATCACCACTCTGAAACAGTTAGAAAGTAGATAATAACCATACACCAACACACTAAATAGCATATTTGTGTAATATTAAAATAATTATTTTTCATGATGGATTTCAGCAATGTAAACATACAGAAGTGCATGGATTTGCCTACTGTTTGGTCAAACACTGAAAATCTCCCCGCTGAATACTTAACACCACACACTCTAAACCTAAATTAAAAAATAAAATGAAATACAAAAGCAAGACCACGAAATGTCCTTCCAATGAGATTGAATTTGATTTAAATCAACAGGTTGATTGCCATTTCCAAATGCAAGACTTCAAAGTAACCTAGCAAGTGCTAGCACAAAATGAAATAAGTAACTGAACATGAAAATGCAGAGACACTACTCATTTTGAACAGGAAATCATACTATTTGCAAAGACTATTTGTTATGTGTACATTGACTTAATTGCTATCATTGCATCCTGTGGAAGAAAATGAATAGTCACGGACAAGCCACATTGCAGTTCTAACACCTTCTTGAACCATTTTCTATTATTTGTTTCTCAGAACTTAAATTTAAAGCCTAGTAAGAAGAACCACTAAACCCCAAAATGAAAACCTGCTCAGAGAAAATACACATGTATGAGAACTTGTACTGGCCCCCAGCTGTTCGGAAGCTGCGACCTGAAACAGCCAGAGCCCTTCAAGGTCAATGGAAATAACCCCACTGACTTCAGAGAACACTTGAAAAAGCTGCACGCATTGAAGAAAAACAGAAAATGAAGCATTAGTGCACAGAGACTTCAACTTGCTACCAACAACTTTATTTTCTTCGTAATTTCTTTATAACCGTACTGCAGCAGAGTGTTGTATTCTTCAATCTCGTAAAATAAGTCTCTACACTAAAACCAAAGGCCAAATGAGAAAAAAGAAAATTTCACTCCGCTCCTTGCAATACACATGTAATAGGTTAAAGTCAAGCCTAAAAAGGGAAGTTCCCTGTGACTGCACTGGACATTTGCTTTTATTATTGCCCATCCCATTGCTTATTAATTGCACGTTAATGACAAACAAGTATCTGTTTCATTCCTTTTGCAAGAGGAGCTTTGACCATACCTAAAGGCAAAACACGCTTACTTGAACAAGCAACACCCCTTGACACTCAGGCATCAGTATCCCCATGTATCAAGCAGAGAAGGGAAAAACGCTTATGCTTATTTAGTTTTTGCGCAGCTTCTGAATCAAATATAAACTTAATACATCTAAAAGGGTAAAAAAAGACCCAGCTGGTCCACCCTGCATTCAGTTCCAACTCCAGTAAAATTATTGGCAAAGCAACCCTTTTTTTCTTTGGGGGGGGGGGGCATTTTTAAAGGTTCCTAAGAGACAGAAACTTGCTCTGAAAATCCCTCACCTCGGACCCACAAATCCGTTGCCACGTATGATCCAATACGCAGATTTTTAACCCATTTAATTAAGAGGCCCAGTGAAAGACTGCATTTCACTTAAAGCAGAGCCTTCTCTAGACACGGCAGCAGCGGGGCTGACAAGGGCTTCAAGGCCTCAATCTTCTCCCAAGAGTAGGTCACCAGAATTGGGGGGGGGACACACACGGACACCGGCTCG